CCAATCGATTGCCTCGAGACCTCTAAAGTGTCAGCAGGAATGATCTCAGAAGAGCGCCAGGTTTTATACGAGGCCATCCTCACACATGAGGACGTAGATTTGGCAGTCCAGAAAATCAACATGTATTGCGACCACGCAAGGAATTCGTTCATGAGAGCCCATCCAGGCGTTTATCCATGTAGCTTTGATGATATTAGGAATAATCCTCCTAATACTTACACCAGCTCCACAGAGGCTCCAACCCTGGAGGAATACAAGAGCATCAACAAGAGTCACATCAATATCAAGGACTCCAGAACAAGCCACCCGGCTTCTTTTCTCTCTCTTACTGGCTACGAAGACAAACTGGTGCTCGACGCACATTACGAGATAGTTCGTAACAGGATGGCCGGTGTTAACGACAAGAGAGAATACATAGAGGGCTCAAACCCAGACAGCGTATCACTAAGCCTAGTGGTATGCAACTGGGGAAATATGGATCGAGCGCCGGTGCCAGCAGGGAATCCCAAAAAGAAACTCAAACCTGAGAAGGGATTCGATTACCACCCTCTTATTGACATGTGCTTCAACAATTCAGCACATATTACCCTCGTACTCGAGGCAGGAGCACTTGCGTCAAAGGATTCGATCGCAACCATGCGACAACATGAATACAGAGGGATGCTAATCCATTCTCCTCCCAAGGAGCCTGAGGCACCCTCAATGTATATTGGAGTCAAGGGTGATCCAACAACAGACATCTCTCTCGTCCACCACTTTTACCGTCACCGAACAATGAAGCCTAAGGCTGGTGGTCCCAAGAAGCGACTGTGGGCATGCCACGGTGCGGTATGCCGCCTCACCTTTGGGTACCACAGTACCATCAAGGAGGCAAAAGAATGGGTTCACCCATATTCCGGCCAGAGGATGACGAGAGATGAGTACATGAAGATTATCGGATATGACCCTCTCAAGGGTAAAAATCCTGACCAGGATGGACCCACTGATGGCTCTTACCTCTCACCAGAGGCGTGTCTGACACTGTCAGACCTCGATCCTTCGCCGGTTCTCTGTGAATGGAACGGCCATGTCGAGGGTGATGAGCCACCAGAGGAAGACTTTGAGTCATACGCAGAGATCTTCTCACAAGAAGCATCAAAGGATCTTGACGAGATGTGGTGTACAAAAGGGCCTTACAAGGTCATCACCATCGCGATCGTCCATTTCAACTCATACATGACTCATAAGGAAGAACAGAGGCGCGAACTGGTGAACGCGTTCCTCAACGAGGTTCTCCGTTTCAAACCGGATGTAATTGCGGGGGATCTCAATAATATTGCGTCGAGGCTCACCTTAAAAGGTGGAGACGTTCACCCGCGAAACGGTTTGTTTTCTCTATACCTGGAGAAGAAACTGGCAGCATTCAACAGAATAGCAGGAAGGCACTCACAAGTGCGACACCTTTGCTTGAACAACTCTGACCAGCACAGACTGGCACGTGCAGATCGTCTACCGTCGGACCCGGCGAAGAAAGTTGCTGACCTCGACTGTATCAACAGTTATATCCTTGACTGGAGTAAAACGCCGCACACGGCGTCACCTAGTCCAAGAGATGCTACACCTGCCGCCGAAAGAACATACTGGGAACGAGTTTCAGATATGTGGCAGGACATGAACAGAAACAGGGATATCGATATCCGTCTGTTTGTTTCAGTCAAGCAGTACTATTCAACTTTTTCTAACCTTGACCTGTGGTTGAGTCCCTCTGACAAAGATTGGCACAGCCCTTTGGGCTTCACGATACAACCAATCCTTACAAAAGGGAAACACAAACGGTCAGATGCCCAGGTTCAGAAGATCGCTGACAAGCGACAGGCTTACAAGCAGCGTAATGCTGAATACTGGGATTACAAAGACTCATTTATGTATTCATCTGGCAACAGCTGGTACGAAAGACAGCAACCACAAGGTAGCTATCACAGATATGGAAGATTCTGGGAAAGGCCACAGCCTGAACGTCCCAGCGAGCCTGAAGGCTCTCCTCCAAGAAGGAGCCAGGCATCATCGTCCTCTTCACAACAAGATCTACCAAGATCGAGATCCAGACCTCAAAGAACCAATATTGTTGACAAGCTCAACATGTCTTTGGAAGAGCTGGATGGACTAGAAGAAGAACCGTCACCAACAAAAGTGACATCGAAGAACACGAAAGAGAAACATCAAACTTGATGTCTGCTCAGAGAGATGAAGAGGAACAAGAGGACGAATCCTCCAGCCGGAGGAGAAGAAGGAAGGCATCACGCCCACCGTCTGCTCCGAGCGGCAAGGCACTCAGAACAGCTGCCACAGCAGCGGGGTTGTCGGGTTGGTTCGGACACCGTAACCACGGTGGAGCGAACGCAGAGTCTATCAAGACTGATGAACCTTCACTTCCCAACTCACTAACCAGTGAGCAAGACTTCTCCGTCTTCAGCATCGCGTGGAATGTGTTTCTGCTGCTAATGGGCCTACACTGGATGTGGAAGCAGCTCACCAGGGCTCCCATCAGATGTATGGACCGCCAACCATCAAATGCAAAAGCAGCAGCGAAACGACCACCACCATTTCTCGAACCCGAGAATGAACCACAGACGCGTGAACCTTTAGGACCCAACAGGGTCAATTCTGGAGAAACAACGGATTTGCGACCTGTGTGGCACACTTCCCGAAGCGAAGTCTACCATCTTTCAGACAGCTGTTACCAGCTCAAGCAAGCCAAAGATGTTTCAAGGAAGGTGCTGTGTAAAACCTGCCTCCAGGCAGTACAAGTTGCGGAGATTCGCAGGAACGATCCTTTTCAAAGAGGTGATACACGATCACGTGGCACCGAAGGGGACATTGAACGGTTTCAAACCTATGACGATGCAAGTACTACTCCTCATATGAGGCAATTATTCAGTGATGCATTGCATTCACAAATGGCCGAAGAAACCATGCAGATTACCTATACATCAATCCCTAAGGGATCCTCGGCAAGAGCCAGAGGTACATCTGCACTCGCAAGTGCCTCATCGTCGTCAGTGCCCAAGGCAATGCCACCAGTGCCTAACAAGGCAAACATGTCACCTCCACCTAAGACTCCTCCGCCAAAGGCGAAAGGAACAGTACCTTCAGATCCTCCGAGACCAAAAGGTCCTACTAGAAGAGGAGGTCAAAATCGGCGCATTCAACGAAAAGCAGCTAGAGAAGCCCATAATAGTGGACTCTGCAACCATGCAGACGCTGCACTTGGCGAAGCCAATCAAGGCCAGGCCATTAACACTATGTGCCGAAACATGGCAGTAAGACACGTCAGCTCTATCGATGCAACGGTAGAAGCAGCCGAACAGTTTACACAACGCGTGCAACAGCACGTAGAAACATATGATGAAGAGGAACCGTGGAGCACGGAGTTTCTACCAGTCGTGGAAGTCCTATTCAGGAACTTGAGCAGCGAAGAAACAACTGTCATACATGACAATCATACGGTAACTATGCCTATTGAGAAATATCTCGACCTCCTCAGAATCGCACAATCATTGCGAAACTCTATCCAGAGAGACAAGGAGGAAAGAAAGGATCATCTTGACACCATCCAAGATACTCTATCCAGAGTGGAAATCCTTCTAACAGCACTGAAGGACTCAAAAACAGTCTTCAATCAATTGGTCCATTCCTCACTAGAGATAGAGCGAAGACATAAAAACATCAAAAATGTCCTTGAGACACTTTTTGACGACCAAAGCTCTGAGGAAGACCAGTCAGAATCTGACCATGAAGAAGTCCTAACTCCTTCTGCAGCACAGTACTGGAACAGCATTCATGCCCACGCCTTATCTCCCTCAGGAGATGAAAGTGAAAGATCATGGGCGTCCTCAGACGGACAGCTTGAAAGAAGAAGGGCCGAACGGGCAAAGGCTAAGCAGCCACAACCGGCTAAAGCCGAGGCAACTCCAATCAGCTCACAAGCTGCCCCAAAGGCCGAGCCAAAGGCGACTACATCCAACCATGGATATGACACTGCAGACGCCGCCTTCACCAGGGCTGAGAACAGATTACTCGGAATCTTTTCAAGTTCCGAAGAAGATCACTCAGACACGGATGAACCACATCCGAACGTCTATGCTCGAGCCTATGATCCAAACCTGGATCCAAATCTGAGATAAGGAAAATCTCAGAGTTTCACAACAGTGACTCACAAAGCTCTAACAAGAGCACAGTGAAGGGCTGCATAATTCGATAGAAGAACATCACCAGACCTGATCTTGTACAGATGATCTCTCTGACCAATGTGCATGAAAGGGTTCAAAAGGAGTGACTTCAACAGTGTACTTCAGTGCTATACCTAGCATAAACAATATGCTGTTTTTATCATGAGTCCAAACTCCGCAACTGTGACAGTGGGCATAATAGTATATGTGTGAATGTGCGGCCATGCTTCCGGTAAAAGAAAATTAGTGTCTGTTTGTTTGCGTAAACCTCTAAAGGGGTAGCTCTAACAGGTACCTACAGCAATGGCTGCATGCTCATACATATACATTCCGCTGCGCATTGGATCAGAGTGGTTTTACCATATTGAGACAAGACAAGCTCTCCTTGCGTAGCAAGACAAAACAACTACTGTCCGTGTGCAGGGCGCTGCCCTTTGATCCTTAGGGAATAAACTGGTCATACACCTCCTAACAAGGAGCATTTCCTTGTGGGTGTATCGGCTCACCCCCCACCCCTAGCAGACCATACCATTGGGGGGGGGGGGGGCTGGGAACGCCAGACGCCTGACCATATATGGCAAGCGTAGTCTCGCTTTGCTTTGCTTTGCTCAGGGGCTTGGAGGGTAGGCCAGGCAGTCCCTACCCCCTGCTCCGGGGAGCCGCCCCATCCCACCCTTTTGGTAGAATGGGCTCTGCTGTACTGGAACTTTTGTTGACTACGACTACGCTCTCGACGCTCTCGCTCTCCACCCTCTCGCCTGCATACGTGTATTAATACCTGTGCCGAGAAGCTTAAACGCCCGCGACAGCCGTGGGCAATAGCCACACATGACGTCTGAAAGACCATCCAGCTGCGACATTGAGAACGATGCCAACCTGTCAATTTGAACTCGGTAAGGGAGCACGTATTCTTGAAAGCCTCCATGAACTGATGATCGGCTATTGCCAGCAACATCTTTGCATATCTTTGCGTTCATGCAAGACACGTCTGTGGATCCCATATCTCCGCAAGTGCTGCGGCAGTCTGTCGTCTTTCCGACGGTCGAGCTGGAGCCTGTCCGTGCCACGTTCAACATTCAGAAAGACACATATGCCTTGATGTTTGCTATTTCAGGCCTCGCCGCAAGCAGTTTCCCTGGGTCCTCTGGGTTGTGCTGCTGCCATCCTGTCAGTGTTGCCAGCACACAACATATACAACATTCCCTTTGCAATAGAGAAGGCAACGGGGACGTCCGGTCTCCTGCGCCAGGGCGGCGAGGCAAAGGGCAGCAGAAGAAAGAGGAGGATTCTCGGCATGTCCGTGAACCTGAAAAGCCATGTGCAACTGCACTCTCACTCTTGCAGGCGTGCTAGGGCAACTCAATTGCTGTGCCCAAGTCGCACATCACAGTTGCAGAAGACGTCTGCTCCACATGCGGCATTGATAAGCTGAACAGGAGGACTCCAAGCGCGGATCGCTTAAGTGGTGGCTGAAGAGTGGTGTGCATGCAATGCGCCATGACTGTTGCTTCATGGCCACACTTCGCTGGTCTCTGCATGGTTCTTCAAATAACTTCAAAGACTGTCAACAGCTGCCACATCTACATGAACGGCTCTTTGCAAAAAAGATGCATGCGGCACTTCAAACTGTGGCAATAATCATCAATGATCCAAACTCCCTCTGCTTCTGGTATGCGGCGTTGAGCAGTCAGGCGACCACATCAAAATCACATCCGACTGAAACTACAACCTTTCTCGACCATGGCTCAGCTACTCGAATTTGCGATATGCCAATCCAGAGACAAGCAGCACTCGGCAGTTGCACGAAGCAGACACCTGCAGGCACTTCCGCTCAAACACAACACACAAACACACACACACACACACACATAACATGCACAACGCACAAAAACACATAAGTGCGTAGGCAGACAGTCGCGCGAAGGCAGACGCCAATGCATTTGACAGCAGGAGCACAAAGGCTTGATAAGATGATGTCGCGCTTATGCGGCGTTCCTCGAGTATGGACGCCTGTCGATGTGCAGTAACAACCCAGGTGATACGAGAGAGTCCCGAACAGTCGAGCTCCTTCGTTGTTTGAAGGCTGTTGGTGTCCACGATAGTTTTGTGCCGTCGAAAGAAACATCAAGGTCCTTGACAGAAACAGGCGCAGTCTCGTATCCGCAACTACGACCCTTGCCTGTAAGCTTTGTAAGATCCTTCAGCCTTTGGCGAGAATCGGACGCCCCTTCTGAGATTTTGCGTACCATCGGCACGGCAGTTTGGACATATGAGCAGAGCAAGAAAAATCTCAACACGTCAAGAAAAAACGGATGTCCAATGTGTTCCCACGTACTGCTGGAACTGCGCTCCGCAGTGTCACAAGTGTCACCAATCGGAGTATATCCATGAATGGGGTCACATTGAGGGCTGCCGCAAACCTACGGGATGCAATCTCATTCGGAGGAGCCCTACCTAGCATCATGGCACTCGCAGCAACAACCAGGATCTAGCAACGTGATGCAGAGGAGAGCTTGCCGTCGTCCGTCCATCGCATGCAATCTCGAACCTGAGAAAACCCGACCCAAGTGCGGTGGTCAGTAGTCGACAAGGCGCGTCGTGCTGCTGCGTGTTCTTGCATGTTCCGAGTAGACTATCTGATAACTTCTGTGAAACGTAAGCTGAGCGAGACTCAGACCTGAAACAACCGTCTTCGGTCAGCAGTGAAAAGGAAAGACGCATCACACTTATGGCCTATGGCGACAGGCGTCAAGGCAGCATCAGGCTAATCGGAAAGCCATCGCTGCATGTGACACACATGACACAGAAGCTACAAAATGCACATGAGCTGCAATCGAAAATCCAGAATTAAGCGGACGTTGTGGTATAAATATCAACCGCGAGAAATTCTGGTTTGAGAGCTGGGCATCATCGGCCACATTACTGCGCATACGATTGCGCGAAATCTGACGCTGCTCATCACAAACTCGGAACCCACGCAGAAGACTGCAGCTTGGATTGCCACACAGGCACATATGCTGCATGCCAGCGTCCTCAGCACGGTGACGTGCACTGCACCCATCTGGGAATGGATGACCCCCCCAAAGTCCATTCACGTGTAACGTGCGGGGGAAGCCTACCACTTGCACATCACACTCAAGATAGGGATGATATGCCAGGAAAGGCCTAAAGGAAGACACAGCCACAACTTCTGAGTGGTATTGCGCCTATGGTTGACGCTGCGCGAGAGGCCGGACTACTGACCTATTCCACTGCAGTTGCGCCGCCAGCGGACCCGGCACCACCCCACTCGCAGCCGGCAGCAATTCGCCGCTAGATTGTAGCTGCAGCTTCACGTCGTGAGCCCAAGACCCCTGCGAGTGCACAGCAAAGTGGAACATCCGACTGGCCAAAGTACGAGCGTCATCTGTGCCCCCAGCAGCATGCAGCCGGCCGAAGAAGCTGAATTGCAAACGACGGCGAACTTCAACTGACAGAGGTCGCCAACCCAACTCGCCCACGACAGCCGCTCCAGGTGTGCCCCGAGGCCACAAAAGCAGACGGCGCCCAAATCAACGTATTTTCTTGTCCAGATGCGGAGGGCATCATCTAAGAGTTGAGAGCCGTACAAAAGCAAAGGTAGCGCATACGAGGTTCTCAGCCCAACCCAGGCACTGATGGAACTTACCAGTATACGGTGCGAGGAAAGCTTTTGCCACTTCCTGGAGGCTTGAAACACCACCCCCAAGTAACAGTATTGATTGACGCAGTTTGCACGAACAGCTTCCGCAACGCTGTCAAACAGAAGGTTGAACAAGAGTGGGCCCAAAACACTGCCTTGCTTAACCCCTGCTGTGGGCTGAATTTGGTACTTCAAACCGCAGCTGCTTCGCATGTGAAGGCTTTGTCCCATCATTGCTAGCAAATCGCACCGCAGCTTCCGTAACAGCATGCAGATTCACGCAATTGGCCTGCCAATATTTGGCGCCAGTTCGCGCTAATAACTAAGCGGTCACAGTGATGGTGAAACAGTGGTTGGGACGCTTCAGCTCGTTTGGGAGAAGGGGCCATTTGGAATGTCTGCTCTTCGCCTGATCTCTTCCAACGTCCAATCCTTCAGGAGCACTCCATCACGAAACACCTCGACGAGCAGATCCTGGCGAAGACTTTGTACAGTAGTTTCAGACAACAAGCGAACTTGGTTTGGACCCCTATATAGACAGTAAGTCCTCATAAGTGAGCTAATCCCCAGATGACAGCTTGACCTTATCTGCAGGAGTGAAGTTGGACACAGAGCGGTTTCACAGTCCTTTTCCGGATCGCCTCTGCCACTAGCCACAGTGACAAAGTGTCCGTTCGCCGTGTAGTGGAGGAAACCCTCTCCACCTGGTGTCCCGTTCTCGTCCTGCCGTGGCTTGTAGACGTCCTGACAAAAGGATCTGGACTCATCGCGGAAAACGAATCCGCAGCTCGACCACACCTCTTCGCTGTTCTTCGCGGTGTCTGCTGCACGTTGCACAGTCAGACGCCCCTTCTTCGACGCTTTCCCCTTGTCCGTAATCGGGTCCTGACGACATGGGATAATTAATCATTACATGGCCGCAGTAGGCTGACGGATCCAGTTCTCGGACACAGCACCGACCTTGAAGACCACTCGAGCGACGCCGTTCACCGTAATCTCGGAGCACTTGAAAGCGCACTTAAAGGTGTCCCGATTCAGCTTTTGCAAGAGTGCTCCACCACTGCCAAAGACCATATTTTCCGCAGCATAGCCAGCATCTTTCAGCGTGCCGAGAATCTTTGGTATGGATTCGTAATCCACGCCATCACCTCGGGATGCGGTGTGCGGAAAACAGATCTTGAGTCAACAATCGGGCTGAAAGATCGAATCCTGCAAGCAGCCTGCCTTGAATCACGCGGATATAGGCTGGCAGCAGCTTGTGGCCAGTCGCGGTGACAGTGACATCCTCCTTGAACTGCTCACAGAGTATGGAAAGAATTTGCACGCATGTCTCAGTGGGGTCACCGCTGTCAGGCCGCACCACCAGTCGACCCCAACTATCCCCAGAGATGCGCCCCTTGATCAGATCCTTTAAGCTGGATCCCCAATACTCACGACATGCTTTGAAGACGTCGAAAGAGTCGCTGACGCAAGCAACGATTCCTGTCGGATACTTCTCGAGCATATTCTTCATGGCATCAACTTCGCCCTCAACGCCCCATGAGGTGATTGTGGAGTGTTCAGAGGCAGGAATAGAATTGCCTGCGGCCTGCTTGGAGTGGTAGTACCTCTTCGTGCAGAGAAGAGCCGCCACAGTGTCCGTGCCAAGGAAATTCACCAAGTGAGCCGCGCCCCCAAGCGCCGCAGACTCCACGGAAGACACGCCCCGGAAGCCGAAGTCGTGCAGCTTGAAGACAGAGCCTCCAGGAATGGCCCAGAAGTCATTCCCAGTCGCTTCGAGGGCCTCGTGAATTGACAGCTTCTGGTATCGGCTGTTACTGCAAACCGTCATGGGGTACCAAACCTGCACCAGCAGCGTTTCGAGGAAGTTGGTCAACCAGAAACACTTTGGGTCTGTGTTGACCATGGTGAAAAGAGCTGTGCGGGTGGGCATGACCATGCCTTCGGGGATGGCTTTGATTGATATCGGCAGCTTTCCACCATGTTTCTCCAGAATGTATTCAAACCCCTCCTTGTAAAATAGCCCTTCTCCGTTAAAGTGCTCGGAGCAAAGAGCTTCAGCTTCATCGATCTTTTCTCTCGTGATGACTGGACCAAGAAGGTAGCGTTTCAAGAAGTATTGCAGACCAAAAAAGACAACCTCGTCCCACCCGCGATCACAGCCGCGGCTCTCGAAGTAGCTATACCTTGCTACTAACTTCTCCGCTTCTGGCGAAGGAGGGGTCACCAGGGTTCTTTGCACAGGAATAAAGGCAAACAGACGTCTTCCTGAAGCTTCCAAGTGGCACGTACTCTGTTCCCGGCGGGTACTGCTTCCAGTGGCTGAACTTGTAGCTGTCAGTGGCCAAAATGATATTGTCCTTCCAGCCGATACACTGGGGCTTGCCAGACTTCGCTGACAGCCAGGCCATGAACTGTGAGATCTTGATCTTGCCATCGCTTTGCGAAGAAGCCAAGACAGTGTCTGCATCTGTGGCTTTCATGCCAATCTTCACCAGCACCTGCTTCAAACGGTCCAGCTCGACAATGCCATCCGATCCGAGCTGCTTCAAACTCTCCTGACCAATTTGACATAGCCGGCAAGAAGAACTCACGGAAACTTTCAGACAGTACTAGGCGTGCCTCGATTTGCTGGAGAGCCATGACAGTCTCGCACGTACCATCAGCAGCCTCTACGTGCTTTTGCAGAGCCCAATTAACGGCTGAAGGGGACATGCGAGCACAATAGAGAAGCTCTTCACTGCTCGCACTTCAATGTGGTCATGGTTGTCTGAAGACTCGAGAGCCAAGCAAAGGACTGGCACCAGCAGTTTGCCTGACCGCTCATTTTTTGTATTTCAAAGCTCTGCCCCATCCCTGAAGTCTCTGTACAAAGAAGCCGGGCGAAGTTGTGGACTGCGCCTATTGGAAAGCAGATTCAGAAGTCCCCTCTCTGCACTGGACGGCGTCCTTCTCATCGAGTTTCGTTTGCTCCAACTAAGCCAGCAGTGGGTACAGCTCCAGTTTCTTGTGCTGTCGATGGCCTTCTGTGCTCTCATCGAAGATCGTTTCAGCAGACCGTACAAAGAGAATGCCCAACGCGAAGGAGAACAGGAGCTGGATGTCTTCCTGGACTGCCCCGTGCCAGTAATCAGCCGGAGCCTCTGCACTGATGCCGCCCTCACTGGCAGCCACCAGAGTTGCTGCAACTAGCACGACCAACATGAAGATAGAACGTGACATTCCGAAAGGATGGAGGCCTGATGTAGAACGTAAATACCTTTCGGCTTGAGTGCAAACGGCATCAGCAAACATCACACAACACGATCGCAAGCAAAGGTAAATCTCTGCCACCGCTCCAACCTCAAAACCACAACGTCCAGAGTCTGCTCTTTCTCACTGCTAGGCTTGCCCTCCCTTCTCTCTAAGCACTGTGTGACCCAGTCTTGCCACCGTGATGTCGACGAGCCACCTACGCCAGCAGTGGGTACAGCTCCAGTTTCTTGTGCTGTCGATGGCCTTCTGTGCTCTCATCGAAGATCGTTTCAGCAGACCGTACAAAGAGAATGCCCAACGCGAAGGAGAACAGGAGCTGGATGTCTTCCTGGACTGCCCCGTGCCAGTAATCAGCTGGAGCCTCTGCACTGATGCCGCCCTCACTGGCAGCCACCAGAGTTGCTGCAACTAGCACGACCAACATGAAGATAGAACGTGACATTCCGAAAGGATGGAGGCCTGATGTAGAACGTAAATACCTTTCGGCTTGAGTGCAAACGGCATCAGCAAACATCACACAACACGATCGCAAGCAAAGGTACATCTCTGCCACCGCTCCAACCTCAAAACCACAACGTCCAGAGTCTGCTCTTTCTCACTGCTAGGCTTGCCCTCCCTTCTCTCTAAGCACTGTGTGACCCAGTCTTGCCACCGTGATGTCGACGAGCCACCTACGCCAGCAGTGGGTACAGCTCCAGTTTCTTGTGCTGTCGATGGCCTTCTGTGCTCTCATCGAAGATCGTTTCAGCAGACCGTACAAAGAGAATGCCCAACGCGAAGGAGAACAGGAGCTGGATGTCTTCCTGGACTGCCCCGTGCCAGTAATCAGCTGGAGCCTCTGCACTGATGCCGCCCTCACTGGCAGCCACCAGAGTTGCTGCAACTAGCACGACCAACATGAAGATAGAACGTGACATTCCGAAAGGATGGAGGCCTGATGTAGAACGTAAATACCTTTCGGCTTGAGTGCAAACGGCAGCAGCAGATCACAGTGCGACATGCCACTCGGCCACGACACGTCCTGCCACGCGGCGGCACCAATTTTCCAGCGGACTCCTGGGCCTCAGAAGTGCATGGACGAGGTCCAGGACCTGGCACGGGAAGGGCGAGATGTACGGGAGCAAGGCTTCCGACTACTCGGGCAAGGAACGGAGGCTCCAGGCTCTTTGATCGGCAAGGAGCGATCAGAAGGTCTCAGGTCTGATGCGGGTGAATCGGGATGGGGGTGAAACATGAGACTTCATGAAGTCATGACACTTTCAGCTCAGGGCCAACTGCGGCAGAGACTTCGAAGCTTGCAAGCCTAGGCCTAGGCCTGGGCTTCCTACGAGCGGAGCGAGAGGCTTCAGGCTCTTGAGGCTCGGCTTGGTCACAAGGCGGTTCCTGAAGCCGTCGGACCAGATGTCCGTTGGCTTCTCGTCGCTCAGGCGCTCGTTCAAGAACTTGAACTGGTCTGCGGCATAGGCTCGGAGAGACTGCAGCTCCTGCTTCGATGTTTGCACACCGCATTCCAGGTGACCGTTCATTGCCGAGTTGGTCACTGCTTGCTCAGCGAGGTTTGCCTCAAGGACTTCCATGTCTCCTTTGCATTGCACCAGGCGTTCATCAAGAAGACCCAGCTGCGTGGAAGTAAACTCCCTCAAGCCCTTCAGCTCCTTCTGTGCAGTAGTCAAGCCACACTCCAAGTGACCATTCAGCACTGAGCTTGTGATGGCCTGCTCCGTCATGGCCGCCTCCATCTGCTCGATCTTTTCGACAAGGGATCTCTCTGCGAATTCAGCGAGTCGATCATCCAGACTCTTGAGCTGGTCCGAGGCATAGGTGCGCAGGCTTTCCAGCTCCTTCTGTGCAGTGGCAAGGCCGCACTCCAGATGACCATTCAACGCAGAGCTCGTAATGGCCTGTTCTGTCATCTCCCTTTCAAGAGCTGCCACAGTGGCCGCCAAAGCATCGAGCTGGGTCTGCTGTGCTGCGTCGTGTAGCAGCTTCTCTACCGTCTGGAGGCGTTCTTCAATGTCAAATCCCACGTCCTCAAAACAGATGAGAACGCTTCAGGCCTTCACCTCTTTGGCCCCTCACTGAGTTCAGGGCCGACTCCTTTGACCCTGCTTGGGGAGGCACCTGGCCCTGGCTCAGGGGATCTCAGAGGCTCAGAGCCAAGGTGGTGTTCGCTGCGCTTCTCGCCCAAGCCGCTGCCTCCTTTTCCAGTTCTTCAAGCTTCTGGAGACGAGCCTCGATCTCTCGGATCTTCTGCCACTCTGGCTTCTCTCCTGGACACAGCTGGCAGATTGTTCTGCGCTCGGCAGCTTGCAGTGATCTCCTAAGTCTGAGCCCTCCACGCAGTTGCAGAAGGCAAAGGCCCTTGGAGCACGCCAAGGAGCGCTCGAAGGTCTCCTCCTCGACCTGAGGAGCTCAAAGCTCCCCCGGGCTCCCCCTTACCCAGACATGTCAGCAAAGCTGCCTTCCCATGCGAATCGTAGAGGTCGTAGGCTTCAGGATGCAAAGCGAGCAGCTGTTCAGCCTGGAAGACGGAGCAGATGCAAGCAAGATTATTAAAATTTTCTTGAGCCACAACAGGATCTGCCTGTTGGCGAATTCCATCATAGCCAGCACTGGTCAGCAGCTCGAGACGACGATCGCCATACGCGAGGAAAAGGGGCACCTCAGCTCCGCAGCCGATCGCGACCTTCCTTTCGGATTACGCTCTGACACGTTCTGCTTGCAGCCCGGCGGCAGGAAGCCCTTGCACCATGAGGCTCTGCTAGCTGCTAGATATATGCTTGCTCTAGCACAGCCCCGGGCCCTTCGTGGCTGCTCTGCAGCGAGCAAATCGTGTGCACGAGACTTGGCAGATTGCACGAAGTGGAAGTATGAAAACCACCCTGAAGCAAGTATAGCCGGGGTTACCGTGCAGCGCTGACGACCTGCTGCCTCCTGCCAGTAGGAAAAGAGCGAAGGCGCAACCAAGCTCATCCCGTTGTCACACATGATCGTCGATTTGCAACCTTTTCGATCAAAAAATGTCCTCACTCGTCGTCTGGACCGCCAGAGTGTACCGGCAGCCGCATCTTCCAGCCGCAGATGTGTTGCAAGAAACAGGCGGACATGTCAAGCCTTGATTCTCCGAAGAATGGGCGACTGGGACCTTAGAAGTTGACAGTCCCAGCAAGTCCCCGGTTCAAATCGCCAGACTCAAGCTCGTAGAGTCGTAGATGAGCCTGAGTCTGATACAAAAGTCAGATCTCGGACGTACCCTAGAAGCAGCCGCCGCGCCAGCGCAGATGCCAGAACCTGATTGACAAGCAGCTTCTCACTACGCTACAAAGCGGCATGCTTGCTGTCGGCAGCGATTTGCTATAGTGCATGAAGTCGACTCCAGGTGGGACACGAATCGCAACACAGGTCCTCTGCTTTGGGAATCGCGACAGAGAGTTTCGGAAGTCGCAGACAAACATGCCCACGGATGTGATCCCATGAACGGGATGTGGACCAGGACTCACACTTCATTCTGTATGGCAAAGCTGCGCAAGACAGCTCGCACAATTCATGGTCAGAGAAACTGGCGAAAAGGCCCCAGACTGCCTTTTTTGACATGGGCTCCAGTCACAAGATCGTTGGTTAATTGATTCTGTAGCACTCTTCGCTTTTGTGCAGCCACTCAGGCGAACGCTGGAGCTGCTCGCTTCAGCCGGCGCTCGACCCGCGCCGAAGAGTCACAGTGGAAGTACACCTCCGCTCTGAAGTTAAAGACTGTGTGCCAGTGAAACCAAGATTGAGCCCAAGGCGATGTAGGAGCCATCTTCAGGCCCTGATGCTTCCACCTCAGAAGTCTGAGAGTTATGCCATCAGGCACGACGCCATGTGCCCAGGCCTTGGCGATACGCATCTTCATTGGGCCTGCAGTCTTCATGGCCTCCAGGACAGGCACATGCACATGCCTCGCAAAGGAATATGCGGGGACCTTCTGCAGCAATAAAGGCGGGTTCGCCAAGATGAGCTCCAACCTCACAACATATGCCTAGAACGGTCATCCGCACCGTACAAAAAGCTGTGCCATCAAGCAGCTGCAGGGCCAACCTTGGTAAAGCTTGGCTGAGAGGACTGCCAGAAAGCGTTTCGGGCTGTTCCAACCCTGAGCGCCACACGACTCCTGCCTTTTCGACTCCAAACGGGCCTGTATCTCGTCCTGAGGGTCCTTTGCGAGAGAGTCGAACACCTCCTGGAAGCGCGAAGAAACACGTCGACAAGCTCTGCAGCAACCCCAATTCCCTAACCTGCCGGAGCCTGCACGACCGGTGGCGGAAGCTTCACCGCAGGCGGAGCCGGTTCCTCCGGGGGCGCAGCCAGCACCTTGGACGCCGGACAACGGCCATCCGAACTCTTGTTCATGGGGACTCATGGGTATGTCCTATGCTGTATCTGAGCATACCCTGGGCTGGAGCCATCAGAGTTCTGCCTAGGGGGTTTGCCCACAAGTTGGCAGTGACCATACTACTACCAGTCGTAAGTCACATGCCGGGGCAGAGCAGCTCGCTTCTTTCTTCTTGAGCTTGCGTTGCCGCTCCGTATCGAGGAACTACTGTACCGGTTTCTTGAGCAATCAAATCTGCCGGAATGGAAGAGTCTTGCGTTCTTGAAGTCACGGAGCGCGTAACAATTAGTATATAACTGTTACAGACATACGGCGGAATACTAGACTTACTAGACCTCCTTTTTTCCTCTTTCAGACTTTCAGGTCAGGCCAGGTCCGCGGCTTGCAACTTCGCCTTTTGGGCCCGAAGCCTCGCGCGATTTTCTCCCTTCCGTACCCAGCTGGGCATGTTACGCTGTTTGTGAAGCACCGTGCCTGCCACTCCAGTCCAGTACACGGTCATGAGTCAACCTACGAACTCATGCCGCAAGCCAGGCTAGACTTCGGTTGAAGCAATGAGTCCGAGGCCTTTCGTGCCACTGCTCCTGGCCACAGGAAACACAGAGAGTGCTGCAAGATCTCACATGTCGGTCCAGCCTGTTGTAGAACAAGCATACCCTGGGACGGGTTGTAGACTTCAGCAGGGGAATCCTGGTGCGAAGGAGAGTCCCGTGCAACGAAGCTCGTGGTCTGGTCCAGTCTCTGACAAAACCACCGCTGCCGCCGCTGCCTGCCAAACCGTGAGGTCCTTCTCTTCGCTGCCACTCCTTCAACGCGTGGCCAACATCAGGGGCTTATAAGAAAGGGAACTTTAAGCAGATTCCGTCCGTGACACGCGCCTCGTTGTGTGCATCGGGAGTCGCTTTCTGGGCCGCCTCACCGGCCGCCCTTGGACCTGCACCCGAACTCCCCTGCGGCGGGAACACCACCGCGTGCCACGTTGTGCCGTGCTCCTCGACTTCTTTGGCAACGTCTGCAGCCAGCCTCGGCAGAACAGTGAGTCGGTACGCAGCACAAACCAAGCCTGCACAATTACGTGCCTTGCAGAATCTACTCTTGCATCTGCGAAGGGCAGCCGCAGCCATCCAGACTGAGGAATCTCTCACAGGCCTCAAGCCTACTTACAGCCTTGACAACGCTGCTTCACATGAGATGTCAAGCTTCGACCATTCTCTGCGAGCTGGGGCTGGCTCGACTCGAGAGATTCTCGGAGTTGCGTGAGAGGCCTGGGACCCAGCTCGGTAGCATCCAAAAGACAAGGAATCAAGGGCTGAGTGCATCGCGTGGACGCGAAGCCTCTTGCATTCGTGTGTGCCGAGATTTTGCAACGACCTGCATAACAAACGCATGTCTTGAAAACTCGTAGAGGCAAGACAAGGCAGCTCCGGACCTTGCCCTTGTCCCAAGCCGCGATTGCAAAGGCACACCATTTACGCTCTCACAACTCGGACAAAAGCCAGGCGACACTGTAGGCTGTAGGCAGTCTGGGCAGTATCGTGGGGCCTTGCGTAGCCTGGAGCCTGGACTAGGTTCTGAGTTACCTACGCTGAGAACCACTTTTGCATGTGTGCAACTGTTGCGTGCAACTCCTGGCACTGATGACTTCAACTTCATCTCAGAGCACGCAGAGAAGCAAAGCACGGACTGCAACAGTGCAACAGCTCGGAGTCCTGTAGAACGGAGGGCGAACCACCGCAGCCGACATTGCATCACGTGGGCTTGGAGAGAAAAAGATTGTATATATATGTCACTGG